AAAAAAAAAAAAAAAGAGAGAATGGTAGACATTCAAAGAAGGTACACAAAGAGACAGGATCACCTTGAGGAGGCCAGTGGGCAGCACAAATAAATCTGGTGGGTTTGTGATGGTCACGATCTGGCCCTCCTGGATACTTAGAAATAGGATCTGAGGAATATTGGCATAAGACTATGTAAGCTCAGATATTAATGTGCTAAGAATGTCATCTTCAATTGCACTATGTCTTCTTGTTTTAAAATGGAGGTGATATGGTTTGGCTCTGTGTCCCCACCCAAATCTCATCTTGTAGCTCCCATAATTCCCAAGTGTTGTGGGAGGGACCCAGTGAGAGATTACAAATTATGGGGGTGGGTCTTTCCCAGTGCTGTTCTCGTGATAGTGAATGGGTCTCAGGAGATCTGATGGTTTTAAAAGTGGGAGTTTCTCTGCATAGGCTCTCTCTTTGCCTGCCGCCATCCATGTCTTGCCTTCCACCATGATTGTGAGGGCTCCCCAGCCATGTGGAACTGTGAGTCCTATTAAACCTCTTTCTTTGTAAATTGCCCAGTCTTGGATATGTCTTTATCAGCAGAGTGAAAACAGCCTAACACAGTAGGCTTAATTATTATTCAGGTATGGTAAGGCCAACAGATCAAGAGACAACTGATATTGGCTGGGTGCAGTGGCTTGTGCCCCTAATCCCAAAACTTTGGGAGGCTTAGGTGGGTGGATCACTTGAGGCCAGGAGTTCAAGACCAGCCTGGCCAACATGGTGAAACCCTATCTCTACTAAAAATAAAAAAATTAGCCAGGTGTGTTGGCTCACACCTGTAGTCCCAGCTACCCAGGAGGCTGAGGCAGGAGAATCTCTCTAACCCTGGAGGCAGAGGTTGCAGTAGGCTAAGATCACACCACTGCTCTCCAGCCTGGGCATCAGAGCGAGACTGTCTCAAAAAAAAACAAAAAAAAAGACAACAAACTGATATTGAAAAGAGTTTGTTACGCTCAGTTCCCAAGAGGAGATGGGGCTGGTGGCGAGGGTTGTGGGTGCACATTATGCAGCACCACATGGGAAAGCACCCAGGTTGGCTGGGAGGCAGAAGGAGCAAGGGGGAAGGGTGGGCAAGGGCCTTTGTTGTGGTTTCAGTGGGAAGGAATGGGCAAGGCACAGTAAGCAGGTTTCCGGTTGGCTAGTTTGAATAACGTCAGTGGGCTCCGGGGTGTGGGAGTCGTCTCTAGCTGTCTGGCTCCCGGCCCTGGGGTGATTAGGACGAGGGAAGGCGACCCAGAGTATGAGAGCCCTACCAGAGCCTGATAAAGGAGGTGTTTGGGGAATGGGCTCTGGATTGGTTGGTTTGCATGTGGAAGGCATGCTCCTGGGGTAAGCTGTTTTCTATCTCTAGAAATTAGTTAATCCTGGGAGGGGCTGTTCCTCCAGTGTCAGCAAGGTCTCGGGATGTCAAAGCCTCAGGAAATACAAAAATTAAATACGATGATTATGCTTAGCAGCCTAACAGGCTTATTCTCTCCTTTAAGCAAGCACTATGGGAATCAAATTATTAAAAGGCTACACAGTGGGTGATTAATCAGAATAAGAGTGGTTGTATATGAACATTTGTAGGGTTCAAGTACTAGATGCCTGATAGGTGTGTCTCCAGCCAAGAATATGCCAGGCAGTTGTTCACCCCTTCCCTGGGCACCGCTTGAATGGGCACTGTCGACACCTGTCTCAGTAACTGGGGTTGCCCTATGTCCTCCACAAAAGGACTCCTGCCATGATTCAGCATTAGTTGTACTCATTGGAAATCCTAGTCCCGAGTAACTAAGAATGTTACCTATAAAACGAATAAATGAAATGTCATTATATCTGTAAGTTAAATCATACTCTTAAATGAAGTTAAAATGTAACAAAAATGCATTTCAAAATATGTACATATATACATGCCTAATTGCTATTGCAAACATCTATAAAACCCACCATTGGGATCACAATGATATATATTTTACTTAATGGAGTGAACATTCCACTGGATGACTACTTTACAACCAGAACCAAACACAGTTAAGTGTTCTTAGGATTGTTAGAAGATTTAAAATTCTTCTAAATATGGCCAAAAAAAATGTTTCTTCTTTTTTTTAGACAGTCTCGCTCTGTCACCCAGGCTGGAGTCCAATGGCGTGATCTTGGGTCACTGCAACCTCCCCCTCCTGGGTTCAAGCAATTCTCCTGCCTCAGACTCCTGAGTACCTGGGATTATAGGTGTGCACCACCATGCCCAGCTAATTTTTGTATTTTTATTAGGGACAGGTTTTACCATACTGGCCAGGCTTGTCTCAAACTCCTGACCTCATGATCCACCTGCCTCAGCCTCACAAAGTGCTGGGATTACAGGCATGAGCCACTGTACCCAACCTAATTTTTTGTAATTTTAGTAGAGACAGGGTTTCACCATGTTGCCCAGTCTGTTCTGGAACTCCTGACCTCAAGTGATCCTCCCACCTCAGCCTCTCAAAGTGCTGGGATTATAGGCGTGAGCCACTGTGCCTGGCCAAAAAACATTTTTTTAATGCTGTTAAATATCTTTTTCATGTTGGTTTCAGAATAGCAACAACAGTTATTCTTTCTTAGTTTTCTATTTATTCAAAGTAGCATGTGGCAAAATTTCTCTTGAAATTATATTGAAATATCATTAGTATTTGAAAGATAAATAAAAATCAGTAACCAAAATGATATTTTAAATCTTTATTGATACCATTTTGTTTATGAACTAATCTCTTTACATATCCTTCCAAATTGTATCCTTACAACTTGAAGTCAAGTACTTTTCTCGATATTAAACTTGCAGAAGCATTTAGCTACCTGTAAATATTAGGTACAATTCTAAGTTCTGAATCAAAAATGTCTAGTGTAATTAATATTAATATTGTTCAAAACATGAAATGGAAAAACCTCTAATTACTTTTTAAAATAAAAGCCACAGTAATTAAATAATTACTATGTACATTACAACTTGCTTATATCAAATTACCAAGAAAAGCATTATGCCAATTGTAGGATCACCTCTACTCAGAAGGCAAAGAAAGTTGTATACGACAGTCATCAAATTAATACACTTAGGTTTTGTATAGTCTGATTTATTCTTTGCTGTTAAACTGCTAGATTGAAATAAGGATTCTTTGTTTAAACATCAAACTTTGAAGTTATATAGATCATATAATTATTTATGATATTTTATAATACTAATATGGTATTCATTAATTTGTTAGAAGTTATTCACAGGTCCTAAAATACTAGATGATTGGAATGTCACACTAAATAAGTTATCCTTATTATAGAAATGTCTAATAACTACATATCAGAAATAAGGTGTTTTTTAATATTGCCCAAATATTTAGTACATTTTGTGATTAAGTTTCTACTGCTGGTCTTAATTTTAATTAACCTAATCTAATCATCAGTTTTTCTTTTTAAAAGAAAGTGAGTGCTTAGTTTCTATCCATGATGAACTTTTTGTTTATTTGATTATTTTTGAAAGACAAGAATAATTTGATATAAGTAAAGAGAAATGCTTTTTAGCTTTTATATCATCTTGTCGTTGGAAACCTATGGATAGGCTTCCAAAACTAATAACAGGAATTAAAAGATAAGAAGAAAGAATAATTCCGCAAAGCAAAACACAGTACACAAACAACAAGACTCAGCATAGAATATTAGTAGGTTGTAAAACTCACTTGCCAGTTAGACACTGATTAAACTGACATCACGAATATTTTAGTTGCTCATTCTAATGCAGTGTTTAACCTTTTATATTTTTAATTAGAGTTTTACCTACCTTCAGTTAACATTTTAAATGAATTAGTTCATTCTTTCTTTGTAGCTTGAGTTTATTGACCTTAGAACATTTAATAGCTGTCAGTGTATTCTTTTATGGTTTGAGGGGCATACAAAAAATTGCAATCTCACTTATTAACATAAAATGTTAAAAAATTATTGACTTGGAAACTGTTTCCTAATAAAATATTTAGCCAATCTGAAATTTAAAAAAAATTACCCCAACATATGTGGCCTTCTTTCTTTGCTGATTTTTTTTTAAATGACAAATTTAGACTACATGGAGATTGTTAAATATTAGAAGCATTGAGAAAAATAGCTTTCCTTTTGTTTGAGAGAATTTTCCTTAGCAGAAACTATATATTATTTTTTATGTTCATGATGCCTAGTACAAATCAATTACATTTTAATCTGCCTAGCCATTATGGACTAACCAATTATGAGATTTAAAAGAATGAACATTTAAGATTTCTTCTCTAGTTCTTTGTTTCTATGATATAAACATTTGAAGAAAATNCCTAAAAGTTTACTAATTGCTTAATTTGTTCAGTTTGCAATGATTGTCTCCTTAACAACATTTTCTTACTTTTGAATTCTTTAGGGAAAATAGGAACTGTTGGCATAAGCATTTTTTGACCACAAGAAAGAAGGCTGCAAATCTTGTTGACATTGGTATCTGAGATGGGAGGGTGAGAATTTACATTTAAGGGTGGGAGAAACCCTGGTCTGGTTTGGGTAATACTGTGATCCAAAGGGAAAGCTCCTGAACCTCGCCTTTCTAAAATTGCATGATTTCTCCTGCTCAGGAGGCCTGGGGGGATATTCTCCAACAATTCTTTGGACTCTGACAATTGGGAAGGAGATGGCAAGAGGATCTTTTTCTTTCCTATAAGTGCTTTGCCATCTTCTAAAGTTGGAGGGGTAAGGCCAGCTGAGAGCTGGGAATCAGAGCTGTAGTGATTTGCCCCCAGGTTTCTTTTTTGAACTATACTTCTTAAGGTGGAAGCAAATATTGTCTGGTTAGAATCTGGGTCCTGGTCAACAGGGACATCAATGCATTGCTGATTTCCTTCTGAAAGATAAGATTGATAATTTATTTCCTCATATGACATCTTCCTTGAGCTGGCCTGATCAAAGGCTCTTAGCAAATGTGCAGTGTCTTTGACATCAATGCTTTGGTGCCTAGTGATGAACCGCTTGGAAAGTGCCAGCCCATTGATTTTATAAGATAATTCTTCCTCTGGTGTAATATCCTGGAGCTCCTCTTGCAGTGAAGCCACTCTGTTCTGGTACATTAAGGATGGGGGACTCTTGATCCACGGTGGAGCCTGGGGGAGCTTGGGCCCCTTGGGGGCCATAGCAGGCTTCCTCACAGGGGAACCTGGGTCCCAGGTATCATCATTGCTTCCAGCAAGCTCAAGATCTTTAAAGCCAAAAAGCATCAGTTCCGTTTCGGAAGAATCTGAAAGTGGTGATGAGGCAGTTTTGATGTCTATTTCTGAAGGAGTGGTGCAGGTGGCTGGGGAATGACACCCATCTATGTCCACAGGAGGCATATTTAAGTACTGTTTAGTTGTATGCTTCCCACAGGGTGACTTTGCTGTTGTGATGATGATGACCTCTTTCCCTTTAGCCTTGCAAGCACTAAGTAGAACTTTCATTGTCTCTGTATCTTCTGAATTTATAGCATAAACAAGAGCTGAGTAACTAGAATGGTCTTGCAAGCTGAGGTCAGCCCCACTCTTGAGGAGCAAGGAAACAACTTCAGGGCCAGCTTTTTCTAAGCAAGCATGCATCAGAGCCGTTTTCCCAGATTTGTCCTGTATGTTGGGATCGGCGTTGTTCTCTAACAGGTATTTCACCATTTTGGCTTTACTGACACTCTGGTGATCGAAATGTTTGGTCTTACAAGCGATCATTAAAGGGGTTTCCCCACGGTCATTGCTCTCATTAATGTAGGCACCGCCTTCTAGCAAAAGTCTTGTGAGGCGAAGCCGGCTCTGATGGACTGCTTTGATCAAGGAATTTCCTTCACTTGAAATTTCCATACCTTCATCCATCTTCAGAAGTTAGAAATCAATACCTGGTTATCAAAGACAGTAAAGACCAAAAGATTAGCCAGAATCCACATCCCAATTTATATTCATTTTGTGAGAATTTCTAAAATATGTACGCGACCTAAATGGGATTATGCTAAATAGTGAATTGCAAAATAAAATAAATTTTTGAATTGTAATGACCTTTATGAAATTACAAATTAAAATTTATTTTCAAAATCTTCATTGATATTTATAACACCAACATAGCACTTTCCAAAGTCCCATATTAATTAAACAGTAATCCACTTATTTTCTACCTGTGGAAGATATTTTTTAAATTAATAATATTAAAAAGCAAATTTAGACAAGTACTGTGGCTCACATCTGTAATCCTAGCACTTTGGGAGATTGAAGCAGGAGGATTACTTGAGGCCGGGAATTTGAAACCAGCCTGGGCAATGTGTACTGAGACTCTGTCTCTACCAAAAATAAATTTTAAAATTAGCTGGGATGGTGGTGTGGCCTGTAGTTCCAGCTACTCAGGAGACTGAGGCAGGAGGATCACTTGAGCCCAGGAGTTTGAGGTTACAGTGAAATATGATCATTCCACCTGCATTCAGCCTGGGTGAAAGAGTGAGACCTTGTCTATAAAAAAAATTAATTAATTAAAATGTAAATTTAAAAAAGTAAATTTAAGCCATAGAGCCAAAATTCTGTGTCATTGCAACTGGATCCATTAAAACATAACATGTTTGTGGTAGCTCAATGTAAAAGCTTTAGTATTACATTGCTTAAACATGCTCTTCAATTAAATAATGCAAGTGATAGCTAGATTTTCAATTTGAGGGACATTTTTCTGTTGTGTTTTTTTTTTTTTTGAAGGATGAAATATTGTTTGGGCTACAACATGTTAAAATAACTGACATAATATCTGAAATTCACACTGAGACTGGAATGGTGAGCATGTGATTATGTAATTTTCTTGATTCTATTATTTAAATTATATATTGACCAGATAATGGGGTTAGAAAGAACTATAGGGTTAAATTTTGACAGCAGTATCTCTGCTCTGAAAAAGGAGTTTTATAGGCAAGAAACCTGAAAGAAGCCATGACGACTTTGTAAACATTTTCATTATTGAAACTAAACAATATTTATGTTAAACTTATTTAAATATTTTAGATTCAGACTCCTTCAACAGATCATTCCATTAAGTGGCAAGAATTATGTCTTCATCTAGGGCTAATAAAACTTTTGTTTTTTAACAGTCCTTAGAGTTGGGGACTCAGATGAATGTATATATAATATTTAAATCTGTTTCACTGATTCAATAGTTTTTGGAAAGTGAAAACTATTATTTATTCTATTTACTTTTAAAATTAAAATTATGGAAAATGGATTTCTATTTGATAATAGAATAGATAACAAATCTAACAACAGCCAGAAGAAAGAAAAAATGAAGACGGCGAAAAAGTGAAGAAAAAAGAGAAAAGTAAGCATGCAGGCAGAAATTCCATTGTTAAACTTCTACAGGCTTCTGATATGTGCTGGGCACTGAGCTACAAAGACACAAGCCCTATCCCTGAGGAGCTCACAGTCTTTTGGAAGAGATACTGTATAAGCAGCTGATTACAGAGTCAGGAGAGCACAGAAGCTTTAACATCCTGGGGACTGAAGCAGGCTTCACAGAAGCCAGCCATTGAGTTGGATCCTAAAAACTGTGTAAGAATCTGGCAGGCAGACAAAGGAGGAAGGGAGAAGTAGATAACACTGCTTTTGCAAAGACCTAGAGGCCTAAAGTAGCAGTTATTTATCAGGAAACAGGCTTCATTTACTTGGTTACAACCAAACTTTAGGATAATGTTTTAGCAGATGGTTAGAGTTAGGGTTAATATGGCAGAAGACACATCATCTAATTTTGCTTCTTCCTGAAACTCCTTAAAACCAAATAATTTTTTCAAAGACATAAACTCTTAAAGATAGAGGGATGAGAAGATGGCAGCAACAATATTTTGGAAGCCAGAAAGCAGTGAGCCAGTAGTAACTGACTCAGAGTGTGTGTGTGTGTGTGTGTGTTTTTGTGTGTGTGTGTGTGTGTGTGTGTGTACGCATGCGAGCATATGTGTGAAGAATATAGCTAAAATAAGGAGGAACAGCTGAAAAGCTGTTAGATAAGCAGCTAGATTCCTAGGTCCTTTTGCTACCTGAAGTGTGATCCTACCCTGGCATCACCACCAGAAAACTCATTCGATGTGCAGAAGCTCAGACTTCACCCCAGAGCTACTGAATCAGAGCCTACATTTTAACAAGATCCCCAGGCAATTTGTATGCACAGTAAAGTTTGAGAAATACAGCCTTAGGTCATTCCTCCAACTCCCAGTCACTAGGATATGGAAGACTGCCCCTCCTGCCCTACGGGATGTCTAGAGGTTTATTCTCAGGAAATGATGAAACAGAGCATCTCTGGACTGGGAGACACCAGTCTTCTTGTTCTTTGAGAAAAAGAAACAGGGGAATAAGTGATTGCTTACTGACCACTGCTGAAGGATCCCACAGCCTACTTCCCCAGCTCGGCTTGCTGGCAGCCATACCTTCACCCCTCAGGGAAAAATTGCTATAGCTTTCTCCCAAGAATCTGACATGCTACCCAGGTCAAACAACAGTGAAGCTTACAGGTCACAAGCCTCAATCTGTGTGCTTAAGGCTTCTCATCAGCTTTTAATCCCAACCCTTTAATCGTCAGCAGCCACAACCAGAATTTAAAAACAAAAATTCCTCTTACATTGAAGATAGAGACTAGAACAAATTGAAAAAAGCAACTTGGGGCTGGGCACTGTGGCTCACGCCTGTAATCCCAGCACTTTGAGAGGCCAAGGCAGGTGGATCACGAAGTCAGGAGTTTAAGACCAGCCTGGCCAAGATGGTGAAATCCTGTCTCTACTAAAAATACGAAAAATTATTAGGGTGTGATGGCACACACCTGTAGTCCCAGCTACTCGGGGGGCTGGGGCAGGAGGATTGCTTGAACCTGGGGGGGGCGGAGATTGTAGTGAGCCAAGATCACATGACTGCACTTTAGCCTGGGCAACAGAGTGAGACTCTGTCTAAAAAAAAAAAAAAAAAAAGCAACTTGGAGGAAACATGTTAATTAGAAAAATGAGAATCTCAAAAATTCATTACCCTCAAAAGTATAGGAAGATGTTGACAGAGCAGGAGAATTGCTATCTTGGACAAGCCCCTCATTCTAAAGTTCACCTTCATAAAAAACCACGTAAATCCAAAGGCATGCCTAATGGCTAAGGTCAGTATGACCATAAACTACAAATAACATCTCCACCCAGAAACATTCCAAACTCCTCCCCAACTAGAGGCATGCTAGCCCCAAGATAAACCCCACTCCAGTCGGAAAGACGTCTACCCCAAGATATCCTCCCCTCCTCCCAGAGAGATTCCAACCCTGCCAAAAACTTCTCCACACACATAAATGTTCCAAGCCCCCTCACCCTAAAACTAATATACACTCCTAGTCTGTAAGAGAAAGGGTTCCTGACCAAAATGGGCCAGGAGCACCTCTCAGGTTTGATCTATAGTAAACCTGTCTTTAACTGCCAGCCACATTTCATGTTTCTTTCCTCTTTCTTTAACTCTTACAGTTGTAACCATGAAACATGAATAAGATTCTATGAAAAAGGAATATTCAGAGATCATAAAAATGAGCTCTCTTAAGGTAAAAACATGATACCAACCTGTAAAACTCAATAGAAGGGTTGGATGGTAACACTGATAAAATCTCTAACATAATCAAGCAAAAAGAAAAGAAAGGAAAAGAAAAAGATAGAAGGCTAGACCAGGAACTCCAACATCCAAAATAATAGAAGTTTCAACAAGAGAAAAAAGTAGGGGTAGGAAGAAGAAGGGGCAAGTAGAAGAAGAAATCATCTGTAAGATCAAGAAAAGTTTCTAGACTTGAGGGTCATGAGCTGCCAAATTGAAATGGCTCAAAGGAGAGCATAGTACAATGAAAATTTAAAAACAAACCAACAAAACACACACTGACAATGGCACATAGTCAAATTTCTAGTAAATTTCTAGAACAAAGACAACTAAGATTCCGAAATCTTGGGGTCAGGGATGGGCTAAGAGTTTGAGGGATGGGGATAAGTCTATTTAAGAATCAAGAAATAGCACAGACAATGAAGGAAGGTCTTTTAAAATCTGAAGGAAAAATGGTTCTTAGCTTAGAATTCTATATTAAGCAAATCATCAAGGAAGAACTGCAACATACTCTGAAGAATTTACCAGAGGATGGAATCTACAAAGATGACATGGTAGAACCAGAAAAAAGAAAATATAAGATACCAGAGACTGGAGATCATCATGGAAGAAAGACACGAAGAATTTTCAGGAAAATGGTGAAGCGAGATGCCAGGAAAATGCTTGTGCCCAAACATCCCCTCTGAGGCCACCCTGCCAATTTGCCATCTTGTTAACTGAGGACCAGATGCCCCGGTGAGCCTGCCCTCAGTTCTTTTCTCTACTTGCTTGGTCCCAGCCACACCTCTGCTCTCTCCTCTGTGTCCTGCTTTCGGAGGCAGCCAATGGCACTCCAGCTCCACTCAGGTGTTTGCTTTGACTGCCTGGGAGTAAGTCCAGGTGGGCTTAGGAGGAGAAAGACTCAATGGCCTATCCCTTTGTATATCCAGTTCCTGGTCTACTCTGTAGTTCTGCCAGAAGCACTGTAAGGGCGACCCCATGCTTCCTAGGACTCGTGACCTTGCCTGGAGGGGCTCTTGTAAAGGCTCAGAGAGACTGAGCCAGACTAAGACCCAGGGTCTGTCCGGCTTATCCTCTCCTGGAAGCTTTTGTCATATGCTGGCAATCTTGTCCATTCTTTATTCATCTAATTTTGTACCTGATACTATTTTTAAAAAATAAACATTTTACTTAGGGATCAAGTATAAGGGGAAACCTGAAAATTTTTTTAAAAATCAAAGGGAATGATTAATACAAAAGTCAACAAAAAGCTACTCCTTGGTAGAGATTAGGAAAACAATGTCATTTGGGAGGGACACAGAGCGGCCAAAGGTTCAGGTGATGTTCTGTTTCCCAGTCTGGGTGGTGCATAGGAGAGTGTCCATTTTATTCTCCTTCTTGAAACAGTACACATTTCACATACTCCTCTGTATATCACTCTTACTTACTTATTGTAAAATAGAACGTGTGTGCAGAAAAGAGCATAGCATATATGTAAGATATATTTCATTATTAAAAATTCCAAAGTGTCCTATTAGGTCTTACTTTTTACAAGACTAATTCAGTTCTCATGATATTATCGATGGCATTTGTGCCTTGACTTTTAACTGGAATTTCAACTGACTAAGCTCCTGAAAGGCAGTATTCAAAAGGACATAGTGTTCATCTCCACTTCAGTACCATTCCTGATGCAAAGCAGAGAACTACTCAATATATATGCACGTGAATGCTTTGATGTTATGTTCCCTGTGCCATACTCTGTAAAAGCTACCTTGGGGCCAGATGTACCTGCAAGTCAGGAACTTAGGAATTTGGGATCAGTTGACACCTTGGGTCCCAACTCAGAGGTCTATTCTGAATGCAAAGCATCTGAAAAGAGCTCATGTGAGACAGTGATCACAAAAGAATCATTTTAAAAACATTTGTATGTATAAATGGGCTTAATAGAGCATAGAAATTTAGAGAAATGAGCCAGAATATAATATCAAATATAGAAACCACTTAGTAATTGCATTTCAAGGAGCTATACAGTATCAGTCATTAAAAAAAATTCTTTGACCAAAAGTAGCATCTGAGAAATAGATATTCAAATGAAAACAAGTTGCCAGATACCTGATTTCAATATTATACTCTCATATAGTTTCTAGTATTTAGGTCAATCTTGTTTTTATTTTTTAAAATCTTAGCAGAATCTTTGGGGGAAGATATTTTACTTACAATTTTTTTTTAATGTTTATTTTATTTTTTGGCATGGGGTCTTGCTATATTGCCCAGGCTGGTCTTGAACTCCCAGCCTCAAATGATCCTCCTGCCTCAGCTTCCCAAAGTGTTGGAGTTATAGGCGTGAACCACCATGCCCAGCCAAGACTTTCTACTTTTCAGTCACCCTCAAGTAAAGGCCTTTCTCCACTACACTAAACATGAGCACTTGCTGTCACAGATTTCTTTCACCAAGGTTGGTGTCAGGAGGTTCTGGGAGAAGAAGAAGAGCTGGCACTATGCTGGTGACTGCCATGCCTAAAGAGGACAGTGACCCCATCACAGTCTTGTGGAAAAAGAGGGTGCTGTAGGCTCCAGGGTCCCAGAGAAGTTGAGCAGTGGCACCAACTCGCTGCCTAATCCACCCGCAACGTGGACAGAGGCAGACCCTCTCCCCTGAGGACTGGGGAGTGTCTAGCAAAACCAACCCCATAAGGTTGACTCTTTCCTCATTATAAAGACTTTTAAAGCCACTTTGTTTGCTCACTTTTTAACATTTAGTAGAGCAATTTTGACATTGTCTAAACATACTTGTCAGGAAAAAGGTGTCAGATACTTTATTCTCCAAATGTGTAATCCATGTTCAGGTTCTTTCTGTAATCAGTACCTGAATGGAAGAATCCCCTTCTCTTTAGGACTTCATCCTTTTCCGGGGTTCTTTTATCTTGCCTTCTCCAGTTGTACATCAAAAACACTGATATTTACGTCTGACTTATTTCCTTTTCATAGAGTTGAACTCTACTTTTGATGAAGACCACTTCTCTTGCCTAGAATGTTCTTTCCTCCTTGAAGCATCCTGGCTGGATCCTGAGTGTTGATAGCATATTAACATCCAATGGATCTCTTTGTTATCCCTAGACTATAAGCAATCTCTAAACTTAGTTGCACCTTCCATATAGATAATAGTTCAACTGCTGAAAGTTCAGGCATCAGACAGCTGTCAGTCGTGACTCTCCTACTCATTGGCTGTGTGCCCTGATCCAGCCTCTCAGCCTCTAGGAGTCTTGAGCTCCTCATGTGTGAAATGACAATCATAGAACATTCATTCTACGGGGATGTGGTAATGAAATCAGACAATGTCTAGAAAAAGACTTTCCTGTTGTGTCTTCACAGTCACTGCATTCCTCTTTTTAAAATGTTTATCTCATAATTAGCTTTTTAAAATGTTTATCATGTCTCCAGTCCAAAGCCTATTTAAAATAACAGATGATATGTTAGAATTTTTTTTAAGGATCTCATATTTCTAGGATGCAATGCTTCATCTCATTTTGTAAATATCAGTGGAATCTAATAAGTGAAACATGGAAAGAACATATCCTTTAAGTGTATTTTCCTTACAAGTTCCAAACACTATCATTTCAACATTATTACAGGATATTAATTATTAAAAGGCTGGATAAGCTGCTTTTCATTTAAAAATTACAATGTCTTTAATATCACTTGCAACTCATCATGGCATATTTATGATGCTCCTTTAGTTCCTCTCTCTATGCCCAAGATGCCACCAAAATTATAATCATTGAGTTATTTTTTTAAAAGATTTAAAATATGTATATATGTATTTCTTTTTGAGACAAGAATCTGGCTCTGTCGCCCAGGCTGGAGTGCAGTCGCACAATCTTGGCTCACTGCAGCCTCTGCCTCCCGGGTTCAAGTGATTGTCCTGACTCAGCCTCCTGAGTTAAATACCCTTTTTTGAGACAGAGTCTCACTTTGTCACCAGGCTGGAGTGCAGTGGTGCAATCTCAGCTCACTGCAACCTCCACCTCCCAGGTTCAAGCGATTCTCCTGCCTCAGCCTCCTGAGTAGCTGGGACTAGAGGCCACACCACCATGCCCAGCTAATTTTTTGTATTTTTAGTAGAGACCGAGTTTCACTATGTTGGCCAGGATGATCTCCATCTGTTGACCTCGTGATCTGCCCACCTCAGCCTCCCAAAGTGCAGGAATTACAGGTGTGAGCCACTTTGCACAGTCAAATATGTATATTTTTAAGAACAAAGAAAATTGGAGGAGAGATACCATTAGATGAGCAATTTCAAACAAGCTCTGATTGGTGGAGTGGCAAATGGCCTTATCATAGCCCCCTCTGCTATGATAAGACACAGACCCAGGGAGGCGGCCCTGAGGGGAAGGGAGCTGCTTACCCACAGGACCTGTGACATTTAGGACTTAGAGATCCCAAGTGCCAGAGCAAATGGCAATGAGTAACAGGGCTTAAAACAAGAGGATGGTTGAAAAAGTCTGTGGACAGAATAACTGGACCCCCCTGTTTTATCTGATCCCAAGTAGCAGAGAACCACTTTCCTAGGCAAGAAAACAAAGATTTATTTTCTAAGTTGATCAGAAAGGCTCCAAACTTAGAGGCAGCTTGCTGAAAACAGGGGGATTCAGTGAGCATGTGCAGGTCAAACAGTGAAGTCCCCAGCTCCCTGCACAGCTACAAGGGGACTAGAAGCCAGGAAAAGGAAGTAAGAAGCATTGCATCTTAGAGAGATAAGCCCTGTTAAAAATATCTGTCGATACATGAAAGCAATTCAAACCATAACTGCATTCACCCTTCCAGACACCCACTCTAAATGGAAATAGAAATTACCTGAAAACATTATTCAAAATTTCATACTTCACTTTTGTGTCTTCGCTCCCTGGATGAGTTTTCTGTCAGCCAGCTGTCAGTTCCTACTGAAGGAAATCAAAGCTATTCAGTGTTACATAAACACCAATAACTTGTTACATGCATCTTTCCCATTTGGAGTCTAGTTTTTAAATTCCTTATTAAGAAATCCCTACAATGTTTGCTCAGTTAGTCATAGCTCACTGATTATGAGTTTGTAAAGTGTCTGGAGATTCTATGCACAGCACCCCTGTGTGTGTCTGCCTGCAGGACCGAGTCAGCCATGCAAGGATTGCTGGGGTTGGGCGGGCCTTGGCGCTCACTTGGTGCAGATGAGCAGGCTGAGAAAGGAAAGGTGAAGGCATTCTCCCAAAGGCAATCATCTTACTCACCTGCTTGCTAGAAGTTAAAGTTCATCATCTGGCCATGGTGAGGGAGAACTTAACAAATGGGTTTGAACTCAAAATTCAGCCCATCACCCTTGCCCCAGTCCCTGCCTGTCTGCTGCCCCAAAGGGAATTTGGGACTGCTCAGATGAGGCAGCAAGGTATCAGGGACCTGGGCTCTCGCTCTCTCCAAGTTACCAATCTCTGGGCGGTCATTTTTCTTAGCCTTAGTTTCCCCACCCCTAAAATAGGGATAATACCTACTTTACAGGGGATGATTATGAGGATTTTAAAAGATCCGAACACACTTGCTACTTTATTCAATAAATGTCCATTTATAAACATGCATCACCAAATATAGGCACTGCATACAGGAATCCTGGTAGGGTCTGACAAGGAGAGGCCAAGTTCCCTACACCAGTGGGTTATTCTTCCTTTGCGGGCATAAGAATCACATGGAGACCCTGTTAAAAATAAAATTCCAGCTCCGCTCCCAGATATTCCATGGGAGGTGCTTCTAATGCACACTTGGAGAAAATCTGAGGCACACTCTTCATTCTTCATTCCAGGCCACTTCTGTTTGCTATGGACCCCTGCCTCGGATTCACACAGGGCTGTTTCCATCATTACTTCCAAGTGGTGTGATGCTTAGCTCCCCTGCAGGAGTGAAAGGCAGAGATGGCTGCCACAGCCTAGTGGGGTTCCAGGGAGGTCACAGGCCCCAGAGAGGAGGACAAACTTGAAGTAGTAGAAAGGGCCAGAAGCTGAAGGTTTGCTGCCCTGCCTTTCCTAGACAAGTTTGAAAAAACCTGGAGCCCTAGGGGGCAGCCGAAGGCCAGGAGGGAGGCCAACTCCACTTGGAAAAAGGCAAGCTGGCCTACCACAAGCAAATGTGTGTCTTCTCCCCACCCAAGGAAAGGGGCAGAGCCATAATAAAAGATGTATATGAGGTCGTCCTGGAAAATGGAATGACTGGCCAGAAAAAGATTCTTCCCTGGTATTGACTTCCAAGAAATATTTAGAAACAGCCCAAGAAGACGGTTTGCTATGTTTCCCACACGTACCTCCAAAGGGCTGCTGTGTTCTCCTAGTTACTTCGGCTGTCCCCCAGGCCTTTGGGGGCATATACGCCCCTACCGCTGCTACTGATTCACCTCCCCCCAACACACACAGACATACGAAAGAGGGAGGGAGAGAGAGAGAGAGAGAGAGAAACCAACCTACTCTTCTAAGTCTCAGGGAATCAAGGTGTTGGGATTTCCAAGCTGTTGAGGATGCTGGCAGCGTCTCCACGGTCCCCGCCGACCCCAGGCGCGTTTCTTAGGTTTTTCCTGAGAGCAGGAGGAAGCGAGCACAAGGCGCTGTCGGAGAAGGGCAAAGGAAGGTGACTGGGGCGACCGCGCCAGGGCACCGATGGGGGCAGGGTGCGCGTTTCGTCCCATCTCTGAGCCAGGCCAGGCAGCTGGCGGGCTAAGGCGATCGCCATCCATGCAAACGGGTTCTGCCCACAGCCGCTGCGGAGCGGTCCCTACACCGCCCGCCTGCCCGCAGGACACGGCCCTCCCTTGGGAAATGGCGCGTCTGAGGGGCGCAGCCACGGCCCCCATCCCGGAGCAGGCGCAAACCTGCACCCGCCTCTCCGCTAAGGGGGTCCGGCATCCTGGTGCCAAAGCTGTGCGCACCTGGGAGGCTTGGGGACCGGCTGCCCGCCCCTGTGCGGCTCCTGCTTCCAGGGACAGAGGCTGCAAACGGCTCCGCAGTAACCAGCCCGCCCCCTGCACCCACCCGGCACCTCCTGCTACCCGCACCTCCTGCTGCCCAGCAGCCGAGGAACCTGCTGAGACGCGCCCAAGTCAGACCCTCCGACCCGCGCGCTCCTGCGGCCCAGCGAGCGCAGCTCCCGCTGCTGCGCCGACCTGCGCCTGCCAGGCCCCCGCCCCGCATCCTCCTCGACACCCCGAGGCCGGGCAGCCCTCGCCCCTTCCCGCCTCTCGTCTAGGCTGAGAAGGAGGCGGAACCCGCATCCCCTGGGGTCCAAGCCCCAGCGGCCACAAAACTGGAATCGAAAACCAGCGGGGACCGCAGGAGGCGCGGCGAGGGTGAGCTCGCGTGGAGCGCGCCCCGGGGTGGCGGGGCAGTCTCCCGGGAGGCCTCTGCAGCCCGGCGGCCCTTGGCTGGCCCTGGATCTCGCACCCCGCTCGGGGCACTGCAGTGTCAGGGTGCGCGAGAGGTGCGGGCTTCAGGGGCCTGCGTGGCACCTGGCGGGGCGCACCGAGGCCGTGCGGCCGCCGGGTCCCGGGCTGCGCCCCAGCTGTTCCCCTCTCGGCAGCCTCCACTGCCAGCCAAAGTTTCCCAAGTGCAGCCGGCGGGGACGGCGCCTCGCACTGACCTGGGACGCGCTGTCGAGTTGGCGACGGCGCTTGCAGCCTCCCTCTGGGACTGCCCGACCCTCCGTGCGGTGGTTCTAGGGCGCCGTCCGAACTGAGTTGTGGTCTTCGGCACCTCGGCGGCTCGAATCGCAGATCTCGGTAGATGGTCGCCCCGTCCCCGCCCTGCTCGGCGGAAAGAGGCGGGCCACTGCCGCGAGCGCTAGAGCCGGCACCCGGAGCGCGCACCTCGCCAAACACCCGGGCAGCGCGGCGCTTCCGCTGGGGGTGACGCGTCTGCTCCCGGTTCAGCTGCAGGTGAGTGCGGCAGGGCCACTCTGGACCTCGGGGGCCAGATGCTGTTCGAAGCTCCGCCTTCTGTCCCAGTAAGTCCCACCCCTGTCCCCCGCTTCGGCCACCGCGCTTTGGCCAAGGCGACTTGGCCAACAACAGTGGCAGCAGGGTCTCCCCACTGAGGGGAGCACGCGCCCCTACATCACGGCCTTTGGCTCCTCCAGTCGGTGTCCCTCCCCTCAGCTCACATCCACCCGCTGATCCATGCATCTGTCAGTCACACTCATCCTTCCACCTATCCACGTCCCTGTACCACTTCAGGTAAAGCCAAAGCCTCACTTCAGGTTCAGGTGTTAGTGGGAACAACCATTCTTGCTTATGCCTTTAGGAATTTATAACGTTGTTATACTATTATTAAAACATGAATAGAACATACTAACAAAATTTCGCAAAATGCATTTCATATGTTAAACTCCACTGAGAGATGAAAAGGAAATGAAGTTGAAGCAACTTTTTGTTGTTGTTGTTGTTTTCTAAGAAATTTTTCGGGTTTTTTTTTTTTTCTTTTGACAGAGTCTCGCCCAGGCTGGAGTGCAATGGCACGATCTCAGCTCACTGCAACTTCCACCCTCTCCCCGCCTTCAACCAATTCTCATGCCTCAGCCTCCGGAGTAGCAGGGATTACAGGTGTGCACCACCATGCCTGGCTAATTTTTGTATTTTTAGTAGAGACAAGGTTTCACTGTGTTGCCCAGGCTGGTCTTGAACTCCTGACCTCAAATGATCCGCCCACCTTGGCCTCCCAAAGTGCTGGGATTACAGGCATGAGCCACAACGCC